CAGCAAAGCAGAAGGAGCAGAAGGGTTCAGCAAAAGCCACAGGAAAGCAAGTCAAGGAGGGGTTGTGTCACGCATGCGGTTTTAATGCCAAGTTAAAGTCCAGTGGTATAAAGGGGTTTATGGGCTTTCGAGGCCTAAGGGCTTTTTGGGATATATTAATATTCCGGTGTAGTACACTCTAAGATTCTTGCACAGGACCAGGAGGCGCCCGCGTCCCAAGCAAAGACCAAGAAGAAGGAGTGTGGGACCCAGCAGAAGAGCAGCGAGGACCTAGATCGTAAAATTCAAGCCTTCAAACCCTAAACCCTTAACCCTACATCCCAGAACCCCAAAACCTATTTCTGACGAGCTCTTCTGACTGCCCTTAGCGCAACCCTTCATCCTAAACCCTAATCCTTAAATCCTGGACCCCAAACCCTAGCCCAGCCATCACAGGACACAAAAAGGAAGGCGAGCGATGAGCCCGATACAGCACCAAGCAAGAAGAAAGCTGCCGTAGAGGACCCCCCAAGCACTCCAGTAAGGCAACCTGGGCACCCCCCAGTGGTGCCCACTCCGTGCCGAAAGCGTATTTTGCAGAAGAGCAAGGCAGCTGCTAGCCTGATGTTTTCATCCAAGGTTTCGGGTTTAAAGGGTTTATAAGGCTTAGGGTCCTGGTAGTTCCCACAACTAAGGCCCCTTTCTTATGAATTCCTATATATAGACCCATAAAATGAAGGGGCCCGCTCCTCTACAGTTCCTATACTAAGTGACATTTTTGGGGGGGGGCTTCCTCTACAACTCTTACATAATCAGAAATCTAATTTTAGGCTGAATAGCAGGCTGATATCCTCGACCCTGAGCCCCCTCGAGTCTGAAACCTGAACCTCAAATCAAACCTCGAAAGCCCGAACTAAAGACGCCATCCAAGGAGGATGCGAATTCCCCGGCAAGCGAGCTCAAGAAGGAGCCCGTGCAGACCCCCAAGAAGCGTTCGCCTAAAGCAAGCCCAAAGAAGCCATCCCCGAAAGCGTCGCCGAGCAAGCCTTCGCCGAAGAAGCCCCGCTCGCCAAAGAAGGCGTCGCCTCAGACCAAGAGGCAGAAAGTATCCCCAGAGGATGTGGCGCGAATTCAGGCCATGGTAAGGCCATCAGAGCCTTGTCTACATGTAAAAAGTGCAGTCGAGCTGTATTCGCGCAGAGTACTTTTACACTTAGCTTAGCTTGCTAAGGATATGGCGTACAGTGAGCGGAAATGCCGATACGCCTGGGTCGGAAGGGTTGTGAGGGCCCCTGGGGTTGCCCCAGAGGTCCTTGCAAAGTACGAGTACGCGAAGTCAGACCAAGAGAGGTCTCTTAGCGCTATAGTTGTTTTTTCAGCCTTTGTTCGTACCTGATTTGCAGCTCAGGTTTGATTTCATGCGGAGTGTGATTGCAGATCCTACTTTGGCCAGCATCGAAATCTCCGAGGAGTTCCGCAACAAAGTCTTTCAGAAGAGTGCGGATCTCTACGTCACGGCTCCTGGGCCCTGTTCCCGAACCTGAACCCCTAACCCCTGTAGCTCCCATGCGAGGTTTGTGCACGCAGCCCTGGGCAATCTAAGGTGAGCATGATGCAGCTGGAGACCATGTTCCCCGGGCCAGATGGAGCTGAGTTCATAAAGCACCTAACCGATGGCTCCTTTGCTCAAATAAGACTACACTTCGAATCGCTAGTGATCAGGTTTATGGCAATGCTTGGATCTGAGGTCAAGGAGAAGGAATTCCCCACCCGCAGGCCTGAAAGATTGTTGTCCAACACCTCTACATTATAATGGTTAACCCTAGCAAAGACCTGGGACCCTGGTCCAAACCCTAAACCCTAAACCCTAAACCGGTGCCTGTCTAGGCGCCAACCATGAAGAAGGCGAACCGCTTCAAAGTTTTGCGTGAAAGTATCGACGAGAAGGGCATGCTGAAAGAACATGAGCAGAAGGCCCGAGTTCAAGCCACGCCCTGCAAACCCTAAGAAGCCCTAGCCTACCCCAGCACTTCGAACAATTAATTTCAATCAAATATCGAAAGAATTCTACAAAGCCTTGCCCCCGAAACCCTAAAGCCCTCAACCTGAAACTATCCCTGAAATGTTGAAGCTCTGCCCTTCCAGATCAAGTTCAGCGGCCGCATTCGAAGCAGAGCGGCTGCTGATGCCTTGAAGCCGGCGTTGGAAGGCTTTGCTGATGACGTGAACAAGAACGCTGCGACATTGAATGCTCAAGGGGTCTTGAAGCTGCCAAAGAAGAAGAAGGTGCTTACGGAGGAGGAGCAGGTGAACAAGGATTTGACAGCACGCTTCAAGAAGCCACTTGCCCTAACCATACATTGTCAGTTTCCGGTTATAAACCCTAGGCTAGAGGAGTCCACATCCAGAAACCCTACTGAACCCGAAACCCCTAAACCCTGAACTGTAAGCCCAAAACCCCAGACCGTTGACCTTACAGCCAGAAGGCTATTGGCAGATGAGCAGAAGATGAAATGCCTTCTGGGCGACCTCATGAAGGTTCCATTCTCCGCCGAGCTTGCCGCCTCCTTGCAGCAGCTGAAGCTTGATGTCAAGACTATTATGGACACCCTCAACAAAGAGACGACCGTGGAGAACTGCGACCTGAACACGAAGAAAGATGCCATGGCCAAGTGCAACAAGTCCATGAAACCGATTGTGGACGCGATTAAAGAAGGCAACCGCAGGGTTCGGGGTGCTGGTTTGAAGCCTAGCAAAGGCATTGAGACTGAAAGTGCATCTGAGAAGTGATCTGCACGTCTGCATTGTTCGATTCTAAGAATTTCAGCTGACCCTTGATCTGAAGCTTCTTGAAAGATGAGCTTTCCACCCCGGCCGTTGCTTGAACCCAGCTTTTTAAAACTTGCACGTGCAGCCTGATCGGCGGCTGCAGGCTTTAATCGTATGTGTGCCAGACAATATCCCTAAACCCCAAACCCTAAACTAAACCCTGCTCAAAGTTCTACTTCGCACACGTGCTGCAATGCCATGCGTGAGCTGCGACTGTAGTATGATCTACTTGGCGCGCTCGAGATTAGGACCAGACTTGCGTGCCTCAGCATCGGTGCGCGAAAGTCTTCGGATCGCTATAGTCTCGCCTGGGCTTGCATGGTTGTCCTTCTGATTGCGCATGTCTGGCTGCCATGATTTGCAGGGTGCTTAATTGCATGCATGTTTGCTCAAATCGGACTAGAGAGGAAGATATATTGCAAGGTTTTCAGTTCCAAGTTTTGGCCCAACCAATATTTTGCAAGGTGTTCAGTTCGAGGTTTTGCCCCAACCATGCAATCACCCAGGTCTACATGCCCAAATCGTCGAGTCTAGATCTAAATCCAAAACCCTTTAACCCTAAGTCTAGGTCGAGACCCTTAAAAGGAACGGCTTCAGGTACTCCTTAATTTTCTCCGTGAAACTTAGCTTGGGCCTCAGACCCTCAACCCTTTGAAATTCCCTGATCATCACTTGGGACCGGATGCTGCCGTCGCCCGATGCCTTTGGCCACACAAATGCCTACTGGAGATTGCATGGGCGCCTGGATTTTCTGGATTCTTGCATGCGCCAGAAATTCTAAACTCTATATCGTATAACTCCATCATTTAAGGAACCTGAACCTACCCCAACATGCATGCACGCGCGGTTCCTGCAATCCAGGTTCTCAATGCTGGCTTCACCGCTTTCACTGAATTGCTGCCTACCTGCAATAAATTAAAGCCTTGATCCTGCACGCCTGAATCCGCAACCTTTGACCCGGAACCCTGCAGCTAGTATATAAGTCCCATGTACAGGCCCAAAAATTGAAGGGGCCCGCTCCTGTAGAGTTCCTATACTAACTGACATTTTGGGGAAGGAGGCTTCCTCTACAACTCTTACATAACGAAGACTCGGAAAATATGGGGTATGCACCTATATTTTACGACCACATGTGGCCCTATGAAACCCAGACTCGAAACCCTCAATCCTAAATCCCAATACCTTGGCCCTGCAACCCGGCACACCAAGCCTTTAGGGTCTAGGGTTTAGGGTTTATAGGGTTTAGGGTTTAGAGTTTAGGGTTTAGGGTCCTAGTCTGAACCGACATCGGCCATGCGCCTAGAACTCCCAATCCGTGCTTCGTGTAGCCTTATGCAGAAGCCTTCCAACCCCCTAAGCCCTTAGCCAACTGGATGCAAATTAGATATTAACCCGATGCCCATCATGCGAATGACCCTTAAGCCCGGAAGTCAGGAAACCATGGATCTGCTAGTGGAATTGCTCGATCTGGCCCATGATCTATCTGTTGCGAAAATCAAAAAAATGGTGGATGCTATCTCGAACAAGATCCCCGGCTACTTCCTGCCGTGCCTGGGATAGGGATCATATATGTAGGGGTTGGGCGTCTAGGTTTTAGGGTTCGAATTTAGCTGAGGTCTAGCCTACGAGACCTTGCCGGCTATTCTTCCGATTCCAATATCTACAGAAACTTTATTCGCTGGTTGGACAGACAATCTTGGAGGAAGGTGTTGCCGCCGCCTCGAGAGAATCTCCGCAGCACGTCCAATGCCGTTGAAGTCGCTTTCAATCAAGTCCGTATAGCCTGCCGCGCTAGACTAAGGATCGAGTGTCTTTTGGTGGACAGGAAATTGCCGAAGGACCAACAGGTGCATCTAGCCAAATGGCACATAATGCTGCCGCACGAAACGCATGGACCCTAGCGCACGAAAGCACCAATTTGTTTGACTCCTGATCCGAATTGCTAGGGCATAATGTTTGGCTAGCTGATGAGGTTCAGTTCAATCTACAGATTCTCGAGTGCAGAATTTCAGAAGCGCTTCTGTGGAGACCCCGGCGTGCCTTGTCCAAATCAATGAAATCTCTGCGCTCAATTCAGTGCCACCTGAGATGCATGGCAATGTAAGGACATCGAGAATTTTTGGGACAACACCAAAGATACTGAGCCGCTTGTACCGTTTAGAGTTTAGGGTTTAGGGTTTAGGGTTTCGGGTTTAGGTTCTGCCACATAGGATCTAGGGTTTGAGGTGTACGGTTTATGGTTTAAGGTTTAAAGGATATATAGGCTTCAGGATCTAAAGCTCTATAGGGTTTAGGGCTCGGACTATCGCGGGTGTCACTGGAGAGTGAGGCCTTGTGTTGTAGCGCTGAAACACTCCCAACCGAAAACCGCACACCCTAACCAATAAATTCGTGAAACCCTAAATCCTGTAGATCTTACCTTTGAAAACCGCCGGAGAATTTCAAAGAAACAAATGTCTTCAGATAGCCCAGGTGGTTCCAAAAACACCCGATACTCCCGCACTTATCGCGCGAGCAGCTCGCCAAGACGATCCCGCTTGTTCTGCATGGAGATGACGCAGAGGCCCATCGACGGCGATCGTTCTTAGTGGTTAGCTTCCAGAGCGCGGTGAGCAAGGGGGCTACGCTGGATAGACTGCTGCCGATCTACTGCCTGGACAATTCGCAAGCAAGTCCATTCACTGCTCCCTGGCTCAATCTCCAGAATTCTTTCCGGCCAAATCCTAGATCCTCCATCTACCACTATTGGGGACCATCTACCCTTATTTTAAGTCTATACATGCTCCAAACTAAAAGTTTAAAGGGTGCAAATTTGGCATGGATGCTCTGCGGAATGTAAGCCGAGGTTCGACAGTTGGACATGCATGTCGTCCACAGTATTCAGCAGCTCCAGCGTGGTCACACCCTGCCATACGACGCCTGGGGCAAGCTTACTGGCATGCCGGAAAGTGTGATCGCTGACGGATGGCGTGGTGTGTGGGTCGGCGCAAAAGGAGATCAGCAGTACATCAAAAAATGTTTCTGCTTCGAGACCAGCTGGGTCTCTGAGAATGTGTGTCATCGTTGCAAGGCGCATTAATGTTGAAAGCTTCTAGGGCTTGGGGGTCACGGAGTAGCAGTCCAAATGCAGCGCTTCAGTTTGGAAACTTTGCAGGCTAGCAGAGAGGCTGGACCGCTGTTGTACACTCATCACGGGCGTGATGCGCTTCATCGCTCTACGATGCTTGTGTACACTACCAGATCAAGAATTTTCTCGCTGTAAATCCTTGAACCCGAAAAAAAACACGTCTGCTACAGTAGCGCCTTGCCTGCCATGACCAAAAACCGAGGATGATCACCGAAGAGGAGTTCATTCGGAACGCTTCTAGAAGCCCTTGGATTCTGTTGGCCGGCATCAGCATCACTCGGATATTTCAAGATCTACTTCACATTTTGGATTTATCCCTGGCGCCTGATGCCGCCGCGTCGGATGCTTGGCCGCCATAGCGTTTTAGATTTTAGTCTCTATAGGGTATAAGGGTTTTCGGGGTTTTCTGGAGGTTTGGATGGAGATGCCTTGCTGCACTTGGGGCATCCGAGGCTTTACTGGAAATGACATCGGATCGCTCTATTTGGTCAGGCTCCACACAGGAAGCTTGCCTTTCTGAAGCATACAGCGAGTTTGCATTAATGTGCAAAGCTGAACACGTGCGTCTCTTGGATGGAGCTCTGCTCAATTTTCTAGTTCTAATGTTATGGCGTAAGCCCTAGCCCTGAACCCATGAACCCGAAACCCTATAGTCGATTTTCCTCTAGGACGTCGAGCACCTCCTTTCAGTCTGGAAGCACTGAAGTCTGGGAGCGCAAAATCTTTTCCTACGTTTGCTCAAAGGCACCTGAGTGGAGCTGCGGCTTGGCACAGTTCAGGGTTTGTAAAATAGCTGAGGCTAAGGGCTTGTGTAGGGTTTAGGCTGAAAACTCATAATGCGTTTCCATTTGCAAGGTGGATCGGAGTTTAGGATATATATAGGGCTAAGGCGTGGAACACCTGCAAATCTTATGCCGGCAAATCTGAAACTAAGAGCTGCCTGCAAGTCCGAAGTCAGACCCCACACCGACATTATATAGGTTTTTTTGGTGCACGTAGGGTTTAGGTTTTGGGGTTCTAGATGAAATTTGATTAGGGTTTAGGGTTTAGGGTTTAGGGTTTAGGAGTTTAGGGTTCAGGGTTATTTAGGGCATCAAATCTGGCGTGCCAACCCCTGCAGGAATCTGTGATATTGATTCGGTGGCTGGCGAGAATCACCTCGCGGGAAGCATCGCGTACGAGACAGCTGCATGACCAGCTGCGGGCAGGACTTTTCGTTGCATTGGACGAGATGAGAAAAATCTTTTCACGCGGCGGAGCCTTCCTCACTCTGGACGAGCGCCGTAGGGCTGAGCGTTTCAATCAAGCATACCATGCCGCTTTGAACAGCTACTGGCCTCAAATATTTAGGGCTCCAATTTTGTTGAAGTAGCCAGCAAAATTTCATTGCATGCTGAGGCTTAGCCAGCGAAGCTATCCGTTCTGGGCAGTTGTACTGGAAGCTACGGCCCAAGGGCCATCAGCTACATGGAGGAAATATGCCCAAGCCGAATTTTGCGACTTTCTCCTGTTGATATGGATCCCATTAAAATTGATCTCATCCGAGGTTAGATCACTTAGTGATCGATCTGGCAGCGATCTGCAACCCGATGCAGGTGAGTGTGTACTGTGAAGAAGACCTGGTGGGGAGGGTCAAAAGGCAACCTGCCTGCAATCATCCATTTGTTCTCGGAGAATGGTCCCTACCATAAAATCTAAAGCCTAGAGGTTTAAGTTTTCGCACGCAAGGATGGCGTTGAAAGAGCATCCAGCCAATCTGGGACGAGCTGTG